CTGCAACCTCTGCCTCCTGGGTTCATGCGATTCTCTTCCCTCAGCCTCCTGAGTAGCTAGGATTACAGGTGCACACCACCACACCCAGCTAATTTTTTGTATGTTTAGTAGACATGGGATTTCATCATGTTGGTCAGGTGGGTCTTGAGCTCCTGACCTTTTGATCTCCCTGCCTCAGCCTCCCAAAGCGCTGGGATTACAGGCGTGAGCCACCATGCCTGGCCACAGGTAGGTTTCTCACAAGTAGTGTCAACAGTCAGAAAGGTAAGAAAACAGTGGTGACTTAACAGGCTTTTTAACTGAAGGACTTGGCATTTTGATATTCTAAAATCCATTTTGAATTTCCATGAAGAACCCATTTCCAAAACTTATTTTGCCTCATGGGGTTACTGTCCCAGGTGATACACTCTGACAGCAGTGTGTTAGGAGAACACAGCAGTCCCCATGAGTTAGCACCATACTGTGATTCACATGCTGACTGACCCACCATCCAAAGTGACATTTCACCCATTTCACCAGGGTAGTGAACTGCCCCCCTTGCCCTAGAACACTGTCACTCTATCTTCCTGTGATTTTCATTTAAAGATACAAAACAACTCTCTGCTGTCATTTGTCACCTATAAACCCCACTTTCCTTTATGTATATTATTTTGACCCAATTCTGAAAAGGCCTAATTTAATTTGCTAAATGAAGTCTAAATTGCTTTTTTTTGTTGTTTTTTTGAGACAGTCTCGCTCTGTTGCCTAGGCTGGAGTGCAGTGGCATAATCTCAGCTCACTGCAACCTCCACTTCCCAGGTTCAAGTGATTCTCCTGCCTCAGCCTCCTGAATAGCTGAGATTACAGGCACCTGCCACTGCACCTGGCTAATTTTTTTTTTTTTTTTTTTTTTTTTTTTTGGTAATTTTTAGTAGAGACGATGTTTCACCATCTTGGCCAGGCTGGTCTTGAACTCCCGACCTCGTGATCCACCTGCCTTGGCCTTCCAAAATGCTGGGATTACAAGCATGAGTCACCACACCCGGCTCTAAATTGCTTTTCACAAAGGCTAGATGAAACCCTCTGGTTAAAAAAAATTGTTTTGAGACAGGGTCTCGCTCTTTTGCACAGGCTGGAGTGGAGTGTGATCTCAGCTCATTGCAACCTCTGCCTCCCAAATTCAAGCGATTCTTCTGCCTAAGCCTCCCAAGTAACTGAGACTACAGACACACTCCACCACACCTGGCTAATTTTTGTTATTTTTAGTAGAGATGGGGTTTTACCATGTTGCTCAGGCTAGTCTCAAACTCCTGACCTCAGGTGATCCACCCGCCTTGGCCTCCCAAAGTGCTGGGATTACAAGTGTAAGCCATCACACCCAGCTGATTAAATTTTTAAAACCCTTTTTGAATGTAAATAAATTTCAAGTAAAATAAAAAGAGATTCCACATGGTATTTTTTCTAGCTATTCAGTTCTCTTTTAACTCCTTTTATGTCAACAATCATTTTACAATCTCCCCTGTTCACCACCTATCTGAATCTAGACTTTCAACATTTTAATGTAGATAAATATAAATTGCTGAAGGCCAGATTTTACTGATAACCACTGGAAAACAACTCTTTCCTGACCCCCAGTTAGCATGGATGAAATGTAATACAGAGACTGTAAAGAGACCACCGCAGTGAGAGAAGGGAAATGAATCACCAATTCAGAAAATCATTTTGTTAAAAATATTTATTTAAAAAAATACAATTGCTGTCCATATCTAGTTGCACATATATCTATTAACATATCCGTATAATTTTAGACTTGTAGTAAATTTGCTACGGTGCTTCTGTAAAGCCAGCTTGCATTATACAAAGCAAATTCCTCTGTCAGTTCTTACATAAAATAGATTTTTAAAAATGTTTATCTTTCCTAAAAGATGCATATTACCATTATAGAATTTAAGAAAATTTTTGCATAAAACCTGGGAAGTGTTAGAAAAAATGATCTCCTGATTGGTCAGAGCAACCCCTTACTATGTCTGGAGATGCACTGAATATCAACTACACATTTTTTTTTTTTTGAGCAGCATATTATTATAAAGCCCTCAAAGTGCTATCGCATCCTTTCCCTCACCTATCTAAACTCTCTATAAAAAGTTTCTCTGCCGCATACAGACAGAATTCAAGACTGTAGCTACAATCATCCTAATCAATCTTAGAGCAGTGTCCCTTTGTTTCCCAACAGGTAAGTCAGACTGCTTAGCTAGGTGATGTGGCAGCTTCCCTCCAGCTGCTTCATCAAGTTAAGATGAATTTTAATAAATGTTAGCAGTGACCATTTTAATTGCTTTTTTTAGGAAAAAGAAAAAAAAAAGGTGCTCTTAATACTTTGAAGGTGCTTTTTAGGTCTCCTTAATGTAAATTATGCTGAAATTAACTAAGATGAATTATTAATAACACTTTAACAGTTATCCATTCCTTTGGATAGGTGTGCACTTGCATTATACGTAAGTAGCTCTACAAAGTGTTAGGTACTGAATATGAGATATAGATTTCAATAAAACAGGGAAAAAATAAACAATGATGTAACTGTCTTCTCGGCTGAGCTGACAGGTTTGAAGAAAGCACTCTGACATGTTCTTATTACCACATATCCCAAACTAAGACAGTTACATAAAATAATCCATCTCTCCTGGGTTAACACTGACGGAGACACTGTAATAGTCCCATGACAGACATATGCTTTTCTTCTGAATTACAGATTGGCTGAATGAAAATTAAGAGTTTATTACTAAATATCTTTTAATTTTTAAGTGATGTCCATAGTTGATGATCCACAAACTGTCACTGCCACTGTGGTTAAATCACTTGGTGTATGGAATTTAAAATAATCTAACCTACAGTTATTTCCCATTAATCAAATTTATCCCTAGTTGTCTCTTAGGAAGGTCTTCTTAAAAGAAGATCCAATAAGGCTCATGGAAAATTATTTGTTTGTTCTTCAAAATACAAAATTATACACTCTTATTTTTCAGCCAATCTGATTATTTGGTAAAGAAAGGGCATAATTCTAAGAGACTAATTTTAATCAAAAATTTTTACTTGCCTCAAACTAAAGCTTACCAGTAGCAAAATGACTGGACTCAGTTTCATATTTAATTTTCCCTGCCCACAAAGATAAATGAAACTGTTCAAAGGCAAAAACGAAGAGATATGATTGTGATTATAAAGGATCCAGGGCCAAATCAAATAAATAGACCTCAAGGAATCAAAAATTAATTGCATTCATTTCTTTTCTATCTTTACATATATGCATCTTAATTCACTAATACTGAACAGGGAAGTTCATAAAAACGCTACGCTACCACATAAACAAGAAATGTAAGCAACGAAAGTACATACAAAGGCCACTGGTTAATACTGCCCCGAAAAACAAAACAATGAAATGTCTTAAGAGAGGACTGTGTCCCCTACACAACAGACAATAAGCAATAATGACTAAACAGAAAAGAAACTTAAAATTGGGTACTTTACAAATTTAAGTGTAATCTATCAATTGCAAATTATTTTTTAAAATTGTAAATTTATACAAAGTACAGTATTAAAAGGTTGCAAATTATTTAAAAATAACCTAGGCAAGAGAGCGTATCTTAGAGAGCCTAGAAGAATGGCTCACTAGGTAACCCATTTATCCCTTCTACAAACACCCTATAGGTTCCAGAAAACATAAACAAGAAATAAATCTTACTTCCCTGACCCTCAATATCCTTAAGTTGAAATTAAACAAACAACATAATCATTAAGTGCTTCCAGTTATAAAAAATGAAACAGTGCTAATATTGGTGCCCAAGAAAGTGCCAAGTGATTAACACCAATATATGGCGTTCCCACCCCTGAACTCTAGGCATTCTTGAATGATTCCACTGGCTAGAACTCTGGGCCAGCCACAGGAAACCCCCACCTCCTCCCTGATGCCATCCAGAAGATCCCAGGCCTAAGTGAGCATGGCTCATAATCCTTGGAGGGGAAACCAAACCAGAAGGAGGCTTTATGAAACGGAAACAAGGCAAAGTTGAGATCATTCAGCCCAAGACATTCTACTCTGAGGTTTTGGCTAATGCTAATTACGTACAGTTTAAAAGGATAAATTAGGCCACGATGCCAGAATTCCTTCACTACTATATTCAATCCACGGTTGAATCTCTGTACTTTAGAAATACTGCTTCCAGTATAAACCTCCTCTTTGAGAAACTTACAACACAAACTAATAAAGATTTTTACACAAAAGCAAACATAAATGTAGGAATTTTAAGAAAGGACATCCTTATTTGCTCACTAATACATGAACCTAAGAGAACAATTTACAATGACTTTGTTAAGAGTATGTCACATGTAAGCAGTGTAATTCTAAAATGTTGGCAAGCAATTCGTTTTTAAGGCCTACTGAAATGTGCAAAGCATTAATCTTTAAAAAGTGGCAACTGCAAAGTGCAGCAATTTTATTTTTATTTTTTTAGTTTTAGTATAAAATAGACTAGGAGCCATCATTTTATGTTCCCTCTGAAAACGGACTTCTCTCTCTCTCTCTCTCTCTCTCTCTCTCTCACACACACACACACACACACACACACACACACACACACATACACACAGTCGATACATCAGCATACACTCATACACATACATACTAGGCCGATAAATCAGAATGACTCTAATCTCCCAATTAAATATTTCAAAGTAAAGTCTTCAACCTCATAAAACTTCCTGATGTGGATTATACTCAAATGATTAGCACTCAAGAGATTTACTACGTTTGATTGTATCCCTCATGAATTTTCTTTTTAAACGTTTCCTTTAAAATTATGTCAACAACAGCATGAATTTCCTGGTTTCTATAGAAAGTTTAGAGGCAGTATTTCCCCTTTCCAACAAACCACTCTGGATTTTCATCTATCACAATGACTAAGTGTGAATGGTAGCACCTTAGAAATTGCTATTTTCTGGCAGGCTATCAATCTATCACAATTTTTTTCAGAGAAGTGACTTGAAGAAACTGACAGCTTCAAATGGAACAATTATACTACCATTAACAATTCACCTCTCAGATTTGAAGTGACACGTTCCACCAAGTACAAGAAATAAAATCAAACAATTTTCCTTTTTTAATACACCACCAGCCACAAGAATTCTAGAGTCTAAGATTAAAACTTCAACTTCAGTAAGCAGAGTTCTGATGACATAAGAGGAATAACAGGGCACTTTGTTTCAGGCAACGCCAGCAGCATTAAAACAGTAGCAAATCATTTATTTGTTGATCCCAAACCAAGAATATAATTATATTTTCCACAGAACCCACTCTCTCTGGTCAAAGTACCTGCCGAAGAAAGACAATTATGGCTGACCTCCACACTTCACTTACAATACTATGGACTGAACAATTAACTTCTCAATACTATTTTAGAAATAATGTATTCCATCATACCTTCAGATGACACACTATATCATGAGTAGTCTCTTTAACTTTCCTATTGGTTTGGTAATTCATCTGGAGCTTCAGGGTTCTGCATAGAGACCTGCATTTGTCTCCAAACTTGTTTTCACACCTAAGAATGGCACCTAAGCATGATTCTAGACTCCTGGCACAGGTAAATAAAACATATACCATCAGTGAGTTAAAAACAGAAGAGAGCTATAAAGAAAAGTATTCCTTCAGATGCTGTAATATCACAGATTTCAAAAATCAAAAACTTAACGCAGCAAGAAAATGTTAACTTGTTATCTATTTTAACATAAAGCAACTTGAAATGATTCTGAATTTGTTGGTAAAATATAACATAAGGCCCAAAGAAGTTTGTGAGCAGACCACTAAATAAAAATAGTCATACCTAACATGAAGATAAGAGACAACAGGCTGACAATAGTAGTATGAATGAAGCTGTGGAAAACAGGTGGTAATGGATTATTATTTAGAAATTTATCAAAAAGAATGTAAAATTTCAAAAATTGACAATAAACTCTCTTGAAAAACTCCCAATCTCTAGGATTTCTCCATATATCACAAGAGGAGCATCATATATTTTTGGAGATTAGACTGAGAATACCCTGAGTCAGCAGTGCTTCTGGGGGATGTACAAGATAACCAACTGGGGTGTGGGAAGAAAATACAGTAACTGCTACTCAAGATTTACTTTCCATGCCATCCTTCAAGGTTTGTGTATGTTTTATAATGGACATATTACTTTGGTATAGTCGTACATAATTTAACATATACCCATATAAATTTTTAGTAGGGAAAGTTTTACTGATCAAGGTGCATGTTCAAAAAGGCTAGATGCTGCTTTTCTGAAATACTGCTTTTCTAAACCACCGCTTCAGGGGTATTGAGAAGTGGTACTGAGTGGCTCTAAATGTGCTTACATTCACTAAAAACATAAAGCGACCTTTAAGAACCTGAGAATCATAGTAGAAAGTCTGAGATCAGGATGAAACAATGTTGTCAGACTGCACGTCACATGATGCAGGCGTGAATGGAACTGAAGTGATACTATCAACATCCTGGAGTTACAGCTCCAGAATTCCAAACCTCTGATTTATTTATGTCAGTCTTGCCTTTTAAATAAATCTGTAATACAGATGTAAATCTTCAAGGAATTTTCCAGTTAAAAAAAATCCAGTACCCTAATAGAGGCTCACAAGCTTACTGTCCCTATCAAGATTTTAACTGTCAAAATGTGGGAAAAAAGTTAAACTCATATTTTAACTCTAAGCAGCTTACGGTTGACCTTTTAAGGGCCTCTACTACTTTTTTTTTTTCCTTATCGTAGTCCTCAAAATCTAGATTGTGTATAAATTTTTTTAAAAAAGGAAATTTCCACCTTTGTTCAAACACATAAAGTATGCCACAAAGCAATGTAACATCACAAACGTACTGTGACAAACCATTAATAAAGAAGGCTTACTAAGCCAGGTGTGGTGGCACATGCCTATAGCCCGACTATGTGGGAGGCTGAGGCAGGAGGACCACTTGAGCCTGGGAGTTTGAGTCCACCGAGGGTAACACACCAAGACTCCATCTTTAAAAAATTAAATTAATTAAAGGATTCCTGAAAGCTCTCATTTCTAGAAAAATAAAAATAAAAAAATCGCTGAAATCAGACATGAGACTTTAATTTCGTATATTTAAAAATCATTACATAAATAAGAAAAAATTATTTTAGAAATTATATGAAAAATCCACTCTTGGATGGAGTAAATGCAATGGTTTGTCAGCACTGGCTCTGAGCCAGTGCACATCCCTCCTCAACTCTAAGGTGGTAGCTTGAAATCAGCCACAGGGTAATTAATTTATATCAAAGAAATCAGCAAATGCTACAAATTCAGGGCTTCCCCCTCCCCCACCCCAGATATCCTGGTTGTTAAAACATTTTCCAGCGCACGACTGAGTGGATGGGGGCCAGAGCAGAAGGAAAGCTAAGACACCAAAGAAGATGTCTCAAAACCCCATTCCATCTGCTCCACTTCTGTAACAGGCTACTGGTGCCCAACAGCATTCATCCTGGCAAAGTGACTAGGGATGGATACCAGCTACAGCTACCAATTACAATTCTCTCCAGTGAAAACCGATCTGAAGTGGTATGTCACACTAAGAATTCTTCGAATATTCAACAGAATATGAAGCTGAGACTTTTCCAGGAAGGAGGTAGTCTATAAACAGAATTGTCTGCCTCATACACTTGCACTAAAGTTGTAAACTTTGACTTAAAAAAGGACATGCACACACGTTTCTCCAAATCAGTTGATCTCAAAGAGACAGCAGATCACCAATCTGTGACAGCCTCACACCTCTCAGAGGCTTCAGCTATAGGTTTATGCAAAAAGGACTCACTAAAATGGTTTGCTAGGAAGTTGCTCCAACTGAGTTTCAATGGTGCCCTTGGTTCCAAGGTACCTCTGTGCTGAGACAGTTAATTATTAAATATACCATCTGTGAAAACAAATCAATGGCTTTTCTCCTTTAATTCAAAAAGATAAAATACCTTTGTGCTTTTAAAATTTAACACATCTAGTTAAATCAACCATCTATATTTACTTATTTAATATACAAAATGTTAACCTAATGTAACTATTCCAAAGTGCTGCTGAGAGGTCCAATTTCAAACAGGCATGCGAACTAAATAATTCAATATGGGAAAAAAAAGTCCAATATGTCTGTTCCCCATCACTACTGAACACTGCCTTTCAACACTACTATTGCACATCTCAGGAAAAGAACCTTCAGCTGATAACCACAAATGAACCAGTAAAAAATCTCCAACACTACAGTTAATAAAGGCAGCTCATTGAATATGTTCCCTCTACTACTAAGTTAGCTAGCATAGATGTCTTCTTATACAAGAGCTTCTCTCCACCGTATATAAGTAAATACCATGCATCTGAACGATGCTAGTTTTTAACAGTGTCAGTATGAGCCTTCAAGTCCTTACTCCTTCATTCCACTTAGTTCGTGTGATTCTACAGGGTTAGAAGAATAGTTTAACCGGTGGGAGAGGTTGGTGTAGGAGGGCAGTAGTGGTGATGGATGGTGACAACATATAATTTAATCCTGGACTTTAATGCTAAATTTTTCAAAAGACTCCACCACCATGATATTGGTATCAATTCAGTTTGGGGAACCAACAGATCTGTACCTGGCATTGATTACCATATAGTAATATTTTACAAATTTGGTAATGCAGATATAAAGGCCTACATTTTTTACTACTAATATGAACAATCCAACCCCCTATGTATAAGCATTCCCAAATGAACTCTGCTCTTCCCCATTAAAAAAAAAAAAAAGTTGAAATAAGCACATCTTTACTTAGCTACTGACTGGGGAGGCTTCACTTTGAATTCTACCCTCCTAACTGCATCTTTAAAACTATTATAACCTCTAACAACCTGAAACATAAAGGAAAGGTGATCAATATATAGTAGAAAATGAGGTAAAATGAACAGGAAAGAGACACGGTCATTAACTCAGTTATCTTCTAATTGAGAAAACCCCTACATGTTGTTTCAAGTTATTTGATTGAATCTTCTACTCAGAGATGTTTCAAATATTCAAAACCCGAGTTCATCCTCCTAAAAGTGTTCATTTCCCATGCTGTATTTCATGGGCATATAATCATACTACCCAGAGGGCAAAACACATTTCTGTGCTAGATATGAGGTCCCATATTCTCACTAGATGTTCCAAGAAGTATCCTAAACCCCAGGTCTAAAAAAATCTTTCTACCTTGAAATAGACTAGCTCCATGCCCTGTTGACAGGTTCAGACAGGATCATACAAATGGCTAAGAGACCCACCCTGAATAATGGTAAACAAGATGCCTCTTTGGGGAGTTGCTTACACATGTTATACTTCACACAAAACAATCTCCCCAGTATGAATGCTCCAATCTTACTTTGTATGAATAGGAATGATTCTTCTTCCACTGCTTAGGAACAGCTCACTTTTAGCCATTCAACAGAGCACACTTAGTACTAAAGATGCCAATTCATTTCACTAATATTTCTTTAAATAATAGATTCTAAGCATAATTTTTCCTGGCCAAAGGGTCCCAACAGCCAAAAGGAGTAACTTTGTTCTTAATTGTTCTTGCAAAGCATAGCCACTAAACCCCACCAAAAATTTCTTCAGCACAAAGCTCAAAATATTTTGGAAGGAGAAAAAAAAGAAAGAAAAAGGAAAAACAGAGGGAAGTGGAGTTTGGACTCCAATTAAGGCATTTTTATACACATAGTCCAACTTGAGTCCTATTCAAAGAGAATCCTAAAAAGATGTTTTAAATGGGGAACAGCAAAAATTACAATAGTCTATTATCAGCATTGTAGAACTATCAATTGCTCACTTCAAATGCAATCATGTTGAATGTCTCTCTGTTTCTTTGTTCCTCAGTTCTCTCATTCCACAAATGCATAGGTTATGTCTTCTGTAAGTCTGGGGAAAAGGGGCCAGGGGTGGAAGGTCCATCCAGCCCAGACAGAGTGAACGGCCCATGACTGTTCAGTACAGAAGGAAACTGAGAAAGAAAACAAAACACATTAGCATCCTATTACTCAACCCCAGCTTTTACTTTCTGTCCTACTATACTCCCTGAAGCAAAACACAACAACAGCCTTCTGCAATGGCTCACAGGACAAAGGCAGTGGCTGTTTATCGTGACAGAATATGATGTCATGACAAAAACTAAAAACAAAAATGGTTTGTCCTAACATTAACATTCGCCAACTTACCTCGATGGAGTGAAACAAAGAACCACCTGTACCTTCCTTCATATCCTAAGATACATGGGTTTACAATTAACCTCAAACGAAGGTTTTAGAAAGTTCAAGTAAATAACAGTATATACTACAGATAAATGACAGTATACACCCCAGAGTATAGTTCAATTATGAAGCAAATCATAAACCCTCAAAAACAGACCCAGAAAGGTAAAAATAGTTAGTGGGTGCTCATCCTAGAAAAGGGTTCCCCATCCAGTATTCTAAGGCTAACTCTCTAGGGAGATTCCAGGCTGAAGCTATAGAAGCACTGTAACTTTGCTTAAGGTCTCAGCTGACTCCATAACTCAATTATCTGCTCATGAGTGGCAATGAAAAAATACATATAAAAAATTCTCAACTTTTTTCTACTCAATAATTTTAAATGTTTGCAAAAAAAAAAGCAAGAGTAGAAAGATTTTTAATTTTCTTTTCCTCTACCATTTCAATTCTAAAAGAATGAGAAATTACAAAACATAAGAAAATCAGAGACAGTCAACCCTGAATAAATAAATAGACTGACTCCAAGAAAGCCTTTAAGTTATAAACTTTAGATGTTTTGGGCAAAACAATGGCTAAACCCATTAGTAATGAAAGAACTTTCCTAACATCTTGGTGAAGAGATAATATAATATTCGTATTTTTTTTAAATGTATATTTAAAATGTTGATAAATTATCAATTCTGAGTAAGGGAGAAATGGGAGTATTTGATATACCATTCTCAAGACCTTTCTCTACTAAAAAGAAAAAATCCTTAATTAAAAGAGGGAACCTATGTGCAGAAATCCCCGTGTGTGTGTGTCTGTGTGTGAGAGAGAGAGAGAGAGACACACACACACAGAGAGAGAGAGAGAGAGAGAGAGAGAAAGAGAAAATGAGAATGAGAATGAGTGTGTGTATTTGATCAAGCAGTCCTCCCAGCTCAGCCTTGATAGCTGGGGCCACAGGCATGTGCTACCATGCCTGACTTAATTTTTTATTTTTAGTATAGACAAGGTCTCCTTACGTTGTCCAGGCTGGTCTCAAACTCCTGAGCCCAAGCAATCCTCCTGCCTCAGCCTCCCGAAGTGCTAAAATTACAGGCATGAGTCACACAGTGCCTGGCACCCCCCCTTTTTTTTTTTTTAAATAGAGAATTTCTAGTGACAAAAAATTGGGGTGGGTTCTAAATCTCCTACAGTATTGAATAATTCTTGGTCTAACTTAAATGTATGTAATAATAAATAATAAAAATAAAATTTTGCTGTGAATATTTATCCAAGCTGTTTGCCAGCTAGAAAATTAACATTTGGAAATTCAAAAATAAATCTAAAGAATATTTACTGGGCCAAGTATTATGGCTCACGCCTACAATCCCAGCACTTTGGGAGGCCAAGGTGGGTGGATCACCTGAGGTCAGCAGTTAGAGAACTGCCTGGCCAACGTGGTGAAACCCCGCCTCTACTACAAACACAAAAATTAGCCAAGTACAGTGGCACACATATATAATCTCAGCTACTCAGGAGGCTGAGGCAGGAAAATCACTTGAACCTGGGAGGTGGAGGTTGCAGTGAGCTGAGATTGTGCCACTGCACTCTATCTAGCCTGGGTGACAAGGTGAGGACCCTGTCTCAAAAAAAAAAAAAGAGGTATTTATTAAATAGTTTTGTAATGATTAAATGGAACAGTGGGACACTGCCTTTTTTGCCTATTTCTTCATTTAACATGCTCCAACTACAGAAGACAGACTTTCATAAAATTACCTGGAAAAGCGTGTTAGCACCTTGCAGTCTGGCTGGACTTAGGGGAGCAACAGGACTGAGTGTACTCCAAAAGTGGATACTGGAGAGCAAGGGGCTTGGAGTCAGTATGATGGGTGTCTGCAATACACAACGTAAAAATGTTCACTGAATGACTTACCAGGATTATGTTTTATCCTTGAAATAGCATACAAATAACCCAAAACCTAAATATTGCCTTGTCCTATCCTCCAAATATCTGCAAGTCTGAAATTTTATCATGACAAAACTCAAAAATTATTTTTACATGCTAAGAAGGATAAAAATGGTAATTACTTTTTTAAAAAAATTTTATTTCAACAGGCTTTGGGGGTACATGGATGACTTCTTTAGTGGTAATTTCTGAGATTTTGGTGCTTAACCTCTGTTTTTAAGCCAAAATGTATAGTCTTTCCCAAATAGAAAAACCAACCTGAATTCAGGTACAGAGGAATAATGGGTAACCACATCACCAACATGTTGTTTTTTTAAATAATGAGGTCTGGGGAAAATCTATTAAAATGTTCTTTGAGATGTGCAAGTTAATAAATAGCTAATGTTAACTGTACCAACTTGTTACTCAACATCACACCCGTCATTTTTCTTACGGTTCTCAGAACCTACTGTTTTCTAACTTGAGATTATCACTGTTTTACAAGATACCACCGAGTTTCATAAGACAGAGAGAGAGAGAGCGAGAGCGCATGTGCACTTTCTTTACAAGGAAACAGAAAATTCGAAATATTTATTTACTTGAAAATACTCCAAAATTTATATTTTACAATCCTAATTAAGATGAGAAATGGGGTAACTTTCCATGATCACACATATCCTTTCTAAGACAAACCTAAGTAAGAGAAAGCAAACTTGAGTGTATAAATCCTGTATTTGCTTAAAAGGGCAAATAAACACAAGCGATGGTGATACCATAAAGAGCTACCTGTGAAAAAAATGCTGGTGTAAGAGAGGCTGTAGGGAGAGATGGGCTCAATATTCCCAGTGGGCTTGGATCACTGCTTGTGATCACAAGGGTGGGTGCCAGTTCTAACCCTTTGGGTTTCTTGGATCTTGATGAATTATTTGTTTTGTCCTTTTCTGGCAAGACTGAATCCTGGTCTTTAGGCTCCAGTGACAAGTTCTCTGGAAGTTCCATTGGTTGAGAAGCTAATGAATCAATGTCTGTGTCGATGTCTGGGTGAGAACTCAGTGGTGGTGAAGGTGTTCTGGGAGGTTCCTGCAAAGAAGGAGGTATGGACGAAACGGGTGGTGTGGTGGCAAAAGCAGTTGTTATGCTAGATGCAGAGGTTGGGGCTTCCAGGGAAGGCAGTTTTGGGGAAACCAATGTCTCCAATGCTTGGATGGTTTCTTCTGAAGATGGAGAAATACTTGGGCCAGCTGACATGGTGGCAGCAACAGGTTCAACTGGTGGCTTTTTGGAAGGTGTCGTGACAAATTTGATGACAGATGGTGTGGGCTCCTGAGATTTTTTCTCTGCCAGTTTCTCAGCTGGATTCTCAGTCTTTATCAATTTGAAAAGCTTTACATTAGAGGAGTTCAAAGAGTTGAGAGTAAATGAAGAATATAAACCAGAGTGTATGTAGTCATTTCGGCTAGAGGTCTTGGCACCAGGCTGAGGTGGTTTCTCTTTCCCTCCATTCTCCACATCTTTGGAATTGCTGCTGATTTCACTGAAGTTTAAAGTTTCACAGTCACCTTCAATCCTGCCCACTGTCATTGGATCCATGTTCAAAATCTCTGGATAAGAGACAAACTTGTATACAAATTTCTGACCATTCACTTTTTTGATGATATTCTGTAGGTTAAAAAAAAAAATAAGCATTCTTATCCTGTCTTATAAACTTATATCCCATAGTTCATGAAAAAGCTGTCGTAATGAGGTTCTCCATTTGAGAAGTAGATGTCACTTACTTAAAAGTGTCAAAATCACCTAAATTCATCTAGCCATACCAAACCAGTCCCTATGGAGAAGTTAAGACAAGAACACTTAAGTGTCTTATTAACAACTGAACTAATATGTTACATAAAAGCTGAAGGATTTTAATTGCTTACCACTCTCAACCAAGTATCTGTATAGGTTACAACTCTCTGAACTGCAATCTCAAACAATTCCAAAGGTACAAGCCATACACATCCTGAGTAAGCAAAAAAGGAATTTATTTATGGTTTTTTCTTTTCTTTTTTTCTTTATTTTGAGATGGAGTCTCGCTCTGTCACTCAGGCTGGACTGCAGTGGCATAATCTAAGCTCACTGTAACCTCTGACTCCCGGGTTCAATCAATCTCCAGCCTCGGCCTCCCAAAGTGCTGGGATTACAGGCATCAGCCACTGTGACCAGCTGCAAAAAAGGAATTTAGAACATTGTATCTGCTAAGGTTCTTACTTCCTTTAGGAATTCCAGGTTATCTCCAGACAGGAAAGTTGATCAGATCAACCACTTAAAGGTGAAAGAGCCAGGCCCGGTGTCTCACACTTTGGGAAGCCAAGGAGGGTGGATTGCCTTATGTCAGTTCAAGACAAGCCTGTACAATATGGTGAAACCCCATCTCTACTAAAAATACAAAAATTAGCCAGGTGTGGTGGTGGGCACCTGTAATCCCAGCTACTCAGGAGGCTGAGGCAGGAGAATCACAGGAACCTCAGAGGCAGAGGTTGCAGTGAGCTGAGATCTGGCTACTGCTACTCCAGCCTGGCCAACAGAGCAAGACTCCATCTCAGAAAAAAAAAAAAAAGGTAAAAAAAAAATTAAGATCTCAAGATCTCAGCTTCTCATTCTAATTCTATCCTTTGGAGCCATTTATTTTATCTCAGTGCCCAAGAATGAATTCAAAATAATATTAAACAAAAAATATAATTTTAACTAAAAAACCAACTCAGCTACTACTTAAGGTGTAAGGTGTTAATTTGTGATCCCTGGGTTAAACTAAAACTAAAAATTAAAATATAAAAACAAGAATATACATGTAGATATACATATGTGTAAGTGTGTGTGTGTATATATATATATATGTATGACTTTTTTCTCCCCAAGACAGGGTTACTCATCACTCAGGCTGGAGTACAGTGGTGTGATTACCTCTCACTGCAACCTCAACCACTTGAGCTTAAGTAATCATCCTGCCTCAGCCTCCTGAGCACTGGGACTACAGGTGTACACCACCACGCCAGGCTGTTTTATTTTTTGTAGAGCCAGAGTTTCCCTGTGTTGCCCAGGCTAGTCTCAAGGTCCTGGTCTCAAGCAATCCTCCTGCCTCAGCCTTCCAAAGTGTTGGCATTACAGGCATGAGCCACCACTCCAGGCATCACAATTTTCAAAGTAAATTATGACACGCATGAGAATACATATTTATCCTCAAGAATCTCAAACTTCCTTTGTCCTATTCCAATTCTGTACATATTTTTCTTTTAAAGACAACTCTAGGAATAAAATACGTGTAATGGAAGTTAATAAACAAGATTTGGTAGAGATACAGCCAGAACATTTATCCTTTGTATGCTAATTCCAAACTGCTGAAATTACAAACAAAATAAATTGGATTAAAATAAACTAGGATGTTGGTATCTATAACCTTAACAGAAAAGAAGGAATCTTTTTTTTTTTTTTTTTTTTTTTTTTTTTTTTTTTTCTGAGATGAGTCTCATTCTGTCACCCAGGCTGGAGTGCAATGGTGCAATATCAGCTCACTGCAACCTCTGCCTCCCAGGTTCAAATGAGTCTCCTGGTTTAGCCTCCTGAGTAGCTGGAATTACAGGTACCCCACCACCAAGCCCAGCTTTTTTTTTTTTTTTTTGGTAGTCTTAGTAGAGACAGGGTTTCTGTTGGTCAGGGTGGTCTCGAACTCCTGACCTCAGGTGATCTACCCTCCTTGGCCTCCCAAAGTGCTGGGATTATAGGCATGAGCCACCGCGCCCAGCCAAGAAGGAATAGTTCTTGTCTTGAAGTTCTCTGTATAGTATAAGATCAGGATGTGTACTACCTTTACATAATAGTATCTGAGGGCTCGGCTGAGTTTGTCATAATTCATGTTAGGCTTGTTCTTGCGAATCCCCCAGAGACGAGCCACCTCTTCTGCCTGTAAAAGCTTAAACTGCCCATCATTAGAGGTCCAACAGATCATGTGCTTGTTCTGAGGCTTCTGCAGGAGCTGAAGGAGGAACTGCCACAGGGTGATAGCACTGTCCATAGCAATGAGCTGAAAGAATATAGATATGTGATAATATTAACAGCCAGTACCTATTTAACACTGTACGTCAAGCACTGTTTTAAGTGCTCTAAATGTATTAATTCGTTTAATCCCCACATTTCTATAAGGTAGAGACCACTGCATCCTCATTTTAGACATGAAAAAACTGATTCATAAGAGGGTTAAGTAACTTGTCCAAAGTCACCCAAGTAAATGGTGAAGCAATGATCTAAGCCCAGGCAATCTGGACCCAGAGTCCAAACTCTTAAACATGCCATGCTGCTTAAGAAATGCCTTAAGCAACAAGCAACTTGCAAAGAGGATAAAGTTAGTTCCCTAAATTAAAAGAAAAGACAATGACTGTCAATCACTAGTGACTGTCATTCACCGTTCATAAATTTTAATCCTAAAATTTCACTGCTGTATTCTCAGGAGACCACCATTCCAGCATCTATCTAAATCAACCCAGTTTGTTAGCGTGCGCGCGTGTGTGCGTGTGTGTGTGTGTCTACCTCAGGGTGGCCCAGGTGCTGAGGTGTAGGGAATAATCTACTTTTGCTCCAGTTGGTTTCCATTACTATAAATGTCATTTACATACAAACTGGCAGCATTCTGAATTCAGCAAAGTGTTCCCTTAATTTACAAGTTCTGTCACTGCTCTGTCTACAGGAATTCGATCTGCAAAATCCTCCTTTGATTAGCGACCTTTATGTGATTATCAAGACACAGATTAAAGAAAAATCTTGTAATATCTTAAGCTTCAGGATTTCCCCGTTTAGGCCTGAATATTTTGATTTCGGCATTACTGGTTTTGGGAGCCAGATATTCTTTGTTGTGGGAAGCTGTCCTGTACACTGCAGTATGTCTAACAGCATCCCTGGCCTCTACCCACTAGGTGCCAATAGCACCCCCGCCCCATTGAGACCACCAAAAATATCTCCAGACACTGCCAAATATTCCCCCAGGGGTCAAAGTCATCCCAGTAGATACCCATTGGTTTAGGCAAAGGAGCAGCAAGGAATGCTCTCTCATAAAGGTATTTTCCTCACAGAATTTCAAAACACCTTTCTGTTAGGAAGAATTCTTTAGGGCAGAAACTCTGGCCAAATCTGTATACATGTGTCCTAAGAATCCGATGATTGAATACTCCATACACAAACACAAACACAAAAAACCTTCCGTTCCCTATCAACTGTGATCTCAACAGGTTAGAATAGTTTGAAAACAAATCAATACCACTAAAACATTACAAAAACAGATAAACTGGACTACATCAAAATTTAAAACTGTTGTGCTGCAAATAGTGCCATCAAGTGAGAAGATAATCCCCTAAATGGGAGAATATTTTCAAACCATGTGTCACAAAGGAGTCTGTATCCAAAATACATGAAGAACACCTACAACTTAAAATAAATTTAAAAAACAAAGAATTTGAAAAGACATACAAAGATATACAAATAGCCAATAAACATACAAAAAAATGCTCTACATTGGCTGAACCTACCCCAAGCATTGGTGCCGCCCCCCGCCCACTCCATCCTGGCTCCCTGGGGTTCCCTCAGCCCAGCCTGGTCCAACCTGGTTCAGTCCAGCCCAGTTCCCGGAAGGATGAAGTTTGTGTACAAAGAAGAGCATCCGTTCAAGAAGTGCAAGGGCAAGAAGATCCAAAAGAAATACCAGGACTGGACGCCAGTGATAGCAGAAAAGGCTCCCAAAGCTCGGATAGGAGACCTGGACAAAAAGAAATACCTGGTGCTTTCTGATCTCACAGTACTTCTTTTTTTTTTTTTTTTTTTTTGAGATGGGGTCTTGCTCTGTTGCCAGGCTAGACTGCAGTGGTGCAATCTTGGCTCACTGTAACCTCTGCCTCCCAGGTTCAAGTGATTCTCTTGCCTCAGCCTGAGTGGCTGGGATTACAGGCGCCCGCCACCTCACCCAGCTAATTTTTGTATTTTTAGTAGAGACAGAATTTCACCATGTTGATCGGGCTGCTCTCGAATTCCTGACCTTGTGATCTGCTCACTTCAGCCTCCCAAATTGCTAGGATTACAGGAGTGAGCCACCACACCCGGCCCCAGTTCTACTTCTTGATCTGGACGTGAATTCATCTCCGATGAAGATGCCTTGTTTTTCTTTGTCAACAATGTCATTCCACCACCAGTGCCACAATGGGTCAGCTCTACCAAGAACTCCACGGAGACGACTTCTTTCTCTACATTGCCTACAGTGGTGAAAGTGTCTACGGTCTGTGAAGCTGCTGTCCCTGAGCTGGAGGGGGGTCTCATTCTACAAAGAGAGAGGTGGCCCCCCCTTTTGATCTCCTCCTCCTTCAAGCTCAAATACCACCTCCCTTATTCCGGACTGGCACTTCTTAATGTTTGAGGCTTTCTCTCCAGTCTCTCTTAGGAGGGGCAATGGTGGAGTTGGCATCTTGTACCTTTCCTTTATTCCCCTCTCTCTGTCCACCTTTCCCATTCTGCTTTAGACTTCTTGATTGTCAGTCTCTGTCACATCCAATGATTGTTTTGGTTTCTGTTCCCTGACTGCCCAAGTGGCTCAGAACCCAAGCAAACCCTTCTTTTCATACATTCATTTTTGGGGGTAGTTGGAAGAGACTGAAATTGTGGGGGGAAGGTAGGAGGCACATCAATAAGGAAGAAATCACCAAAAAAAAAAAAATGCTCTACATCATTAGTTATTAGGGAACTAAAAATCAAAACCATGTAAGAAACCACTTCATGCCAACTTGGAAGGCTATAATCAATAAGACAGACAGTAACAAATACTGGCAAAGATGTAGATAAATTGAAGCCCTTGCACATAGCTGGTGGGAATGTAAAATGGTGCAGCCACTTTGGACAAGTGTACCACATGACCCAACAATTCTACTCCTGGGTATATACTCAAAAGAAATGAAAACATACATCCATACAAAAACTTAGAGGAATGTTTGTAGCAGAATTATTCATAACATCTAAAGAGTGGAAACAAACTAAATGTCCGTCAACTGATAAATGGATAAATAAAATGTGGCACATTCATAATGGGGTATCATTTAGCCATAGAAAGGAATGAGGTACAAACACGCAAACAAGGACGAATCACGAAAACATTACGCAAGTGACCAATGGAATCCAGTCCACAAAAGACCACATATATATGGTTCCACTTAAATGAAATGTCCAGAATAGGAAAAATCCATAGACACAGAAAATAGATCAGTGGTTACTTAGGACTCGGAGCTAAAATGGGGAGAACAGAAGTAGGAAATGATAGATATGGGCACAGGGTTTCTTTTGGGGGTGATGAAAATATTCTAAATAGACTGTGGTGATGTTTGCACAAACCCCACAGCATACTAGACCTAAGTAGGTGAATTTTATGGTACATGAATTATATCTCAATAAAGATGTTTAAAACAGATAAACTTAACAAACATTACAACAGTTAGGTCTGAGAAACTAATTCTAACAACATTTAACTCACAGAAGATGGAATCCTTATAGGTCAACTATGCTTACTTCCAAAAAGGGAAGAGGTAAGAAACTGCAGTGGAAAATAGCTGGGTTTCTATAACTTTTCTACAACACTCAAAATGTCCTCCAATAATCCTCATGATTATCACTCTCAAGCAGGTTGTACGGAGACAGACATCTAAAAGTAGTGATAGGAAAATAACAAAGGATAGAAAGGGAGAGATGATGCCCATAGTCATAGTTCTTGGAGAAGCTGAGGCCAAGAGTCCCCAAGGCTCTTTCACCACAGCCATGTACTGTCCATTAGGGAAACCACTTCCCCAATGGATAAAAGCACTCACATCACTAATTGATGATAAAAAAAAAAGCATTACGTATTAGATAACAATAATAATCCACAAATATGAAATGCTACCTTAATGCTAATTAACCATGCCCGCTAGAAATCACAGTTCCCCATAGCCTCACTTAAGCTGGGCTGAAACAGGGGCTTTATACTATATCCACTAAGTGTGGTGGAGGCAGGCAGGGGTTATCCTGTTAGGTCTTTTACCTGACAGACCTTTCTTCTGACGATGCCTAATGATGGCAAGTTACTGTTCTACTAGTTTTCCCATTTAAACAATTATTTATAATCTAATCCTGTTAAAACTATTCTCTAGTAAATGTTATGCAAAGAACTCAATTTCCACATTTCCAGACATCACCTTCACATAAGACTGCTTATAGGGGTGCAGTATGAATCCATTTGTGAGATGATGATGAAGGAAAGACAGGCAGAGAATGGGAGTCTCCAGTCTACACAAATGTGGTGCCTATTATTCCACTTGTTTTTGAAAAAATTCCAAAACCTGAATCCTGGGGTCTGAATACCTATCATGTAGATAACATCTGAGGCCTACAAATTTAAAGCCTCAGCTATCCATCTAAAATGACAAAAATAACAAATGGCTCCATAATGAGCACCCAAAGAGATTCCCAAAATACAGGTGTTCTCCAGACAGTGCCGGTTAAATTTGCACCTTTCCCTGTAGGTTATCAGTGGAGCAGCACATATTGAGTCAAATGCTGGTGAGCTGTTGGCTGTTGTAGGGTAGAACCAAGCTGTTGTGGAAAATGCTGATGCTTCTTTAGCATCTACGGTGTGTCTAGATAGAAGGCTGTGGCCAGTAAAAGAAAAAATGGCTTTGAGGTTTTAGATTGAAATACTGGAAATGAATTTTGAGAAAATCAAAGATATGAAACGGACATCTTCAGTGGGTACTTTAAAGGAGTATTTTATTAATTCAATTATGATATCCTGACTTTTGATTGCAAAGCTGGCAAACGTCTTTGTAGTTAAGTCAAAATTTTTCATTTTAGTTTCAAAAAGTGTGGTATTAACTATGATACTATGATCTTCAATGATTTCATCAGATATAAAAGAGAGCTGGCTGAGCACAGAGGCTTATGCCTATAATCCCAGCACTTTGGGAGGCCAAGGAGGGCAGATCACTTTATGTCAGGGGTTCCAGACCAGCCTGGCAAATGGTGGAACCCCATCTCTACTAAAAATACAAAAATCAGCTGGGTGTGGTGGTAGAACCCAATAATCCCAGCTACTTGGGAGGCTGAGGCAGGAGAATCATTTGAACCCGGGAGACAGAGGTTGCAGTAAGCTGAAATCACTCCGCTGCACTACAACCTGGGCGAAAGGGCAAGACCAGACCATGTGTCCAAAAAAAAAAAAAAAAAAAAAAAGCTAAATGAAGAAAACCCCATAAGGCAGTTATTAAAAATTACAGGGTGGCTTCATGCCTGTAATCCCAGCATTTTGGGAGGCTAAGGAGGAAGCCTGAGCTCAGGAGCTCACGACCAGCCTGGGCAACATGTTGAAACCCCGCCCCTACCAAAAAACACAAAAAATTAGCCAGGCATATTTTGCATGACTACTCCGGAGGCTGAGTTGGGAGGATGGCTTCAGCCTGTGAGGTGGAGGTTGAAGTGAGCAGAGACATCACTGCACTCCAGCCTGGTCAACAGACTGAGACCTTGCCTCAAACAAAATACCTTTTAGTCTTGTTACCTATCCAAAAAAAGAGAGAAAATACTTCATTTTTGTTCTCACAAGAATCCTGAGTTTTCTCCAACTGCAGTTTTAAAACTTTAAATTTATAACAAAGGAAGAAAATACTTAACTGGTCCAAATGAAGGAATCTGATTTTTGAGGGGGTAAAGGCTGGAAACATAATTGATTTTAACACTTCAAACATAGATCAATCTCTGGGCTAAATTGAAAGGGACCATGCTGAAGTAATATATTAAGGAAAAGAAGTCTCTATTAAATAAAACCTTTTCCATCCTAAACATGTTTATAATACACACAGTCCAGTTGCTGTGGTGACCCATAGCCCAACTATTTTTCAGAGACAGTAGCTAAGACCCAAAAAAATAAAAACTCCCCAAATTTTCTTTAGCCTGCTACTTACATCAAACAAAACCAACTTATGAAACGTATGAAGCCTACAAAATCAAAATTATCACCGTTGTCAAAAAGTAACCAGAGGTTTTTACCTACACAGGCTCCTAAAAAACAGTCTCTTTGTGTAGGGTCCTGTATAGTTCTTACAATATTCTTACAATAAAACTTGAAGACTACTTCACTAGGAATGAAGATTCCACTTACGCAGTTTTCATGTTTAAGTAAAATCAACGAGGACAGTGTTCCTGAAGGGAAAATATTGAATCATACTACGTTTTAAGGAAAACACCGCTGCCAAGACTAAATATTGAAGCACCAAGTTTTCCAAGCCGTGGGGGGTGGGAAAAAAGGAGAGAGGACCTCATCTGTCAACCAGAGATGGGCAAACCATTCTGATGAGGCATTAAAACTCCAGAATATCTAAATTCCCCAAACTTCTAATAGCAATTGGTAGAGAAAAAGCCAAGCGTGTACTTTTGACTACTTCAGTCAACATCCCCTACTCCCTTCCGAGGCCAGTTAGCATCCCACCCGGAAAGATGGTTCCAACTTATCTTCCAGGAATAAAGCTACCAGCCTCGCTGCAGCTGTGCACGAGGCAGAAAGTAAAGTCAGGCGGGGGGCCGCTGGAGCGAAACTGAAAAAGAAATGAAACTCGACACCGGATGAACAGCGAGCTTGGGGAGAGGAAGAAACAACGACGGCCGCGTGTGCCCTACAGATCAAAGGCCGGGGAAAGAGGTGCAACCTCGCCGGGCCTTGGTAAGCGCTGAATTACTGTACTTTCATTTTCCAACTTCCTGTCACTACAGAAAGTCAGAATTGCGCCCCTCCTCCCCACCCACGCCAAAAAAAACGCCACTTTTCGCCCACGGGACCCCGGGGGACCAAATAAGAGGCGACGAAAGCGGAGCGGTGCGCTCCCGAGTCCACCTGCGCGCCGCGGTGCCCGGCGGGCCGGGGGTGGACCCGAGGGGAGCGCGCGTCCGGCCCCCGCCACCACTTCCTGTTGTGCCGCGCGCCCCTCGGCCCTGGCCCCCGCCCCCGCCCCCGCTCCCGGCCGGTGGGGCTGCGGCCGCTAGATCGCGAGAGGGCGCGCGGGGCCGGCTGCTCACCGACGCTGCGCACGGAGCTCCCCCTCAGTCTCCGCCTCGGACACGATGCGCCTCTCCGCCCTCGGCCTCCTCCTCACGCTGGAAACTCGAGGACAGCGCGGCACCCACTGAGACCCCCGCGGCGGAGCCAGAGAAGGCGGCAGCGGCCGAGCCGAGCCCGCCGGGTGCCCGCAGCCGTCCGCATCTCCCGCCGCCGCGGCGTCTCGCGCCCCGCCCTCTCCGCCCCCGCACGCGGCAGCGGCAGCGGCGGCGCCGGCGGCGGCGCGGGTCTTGGGGCCGCTACACGCCAGGCGCGCGCTCGGGGCGTTTCTCGCAGCGGCCGGGCCTGCCAGGCACTCCGCGGCCGCCGCCACTCTCAAACCCCCCGGCTGCCCCAGGGTCCCTCCCAGACGCCGTAGTCTCCACACGTCACTTCCGGGGGCGGGGCCGCGACCCGCGGAGGGCGTTGTGAGCCGCGGTTGCAGGCCAGCCCGGGTTTGGCATAGCCGGAGGTTGCAGCGAGGGCTCCTCCTGCAGTCCACTTGCCGCTCTCTGCCCAGTTGCTTCCAGTTTGCTGAGGCGCCGGTCCGCAACCCGCCGGGACTCACGCTGCCGTCTGGGCCGGGACCTCGGACTCCTCAGGGGCGCGGCACGTTCTTCTCGGTCGGAGGGAAGAGGTGGCGCTCGCGGAGCAGCCTGCTGGGGACCACTTCTGTTAGTGCTAAGCTCCGGCGAGAGGCTTCTGCCTCCTGTTGTCACTCGTCCTCCCTACCAGTCGCTGTTTAGAAGTTGGCGCCGCCACAGCTTTCTCACCGAAGTGCCAGATCCCAGGATACTACAAACACTTGATAAATACTTGAAAGCACTGAGACTTTCTAGCCTGGGTACAGACAAATGGAAGGGCTGAAGTCGTGGGAAAAGCCTGCCCTGGCGATGGAGGCAGCCACCAAAAATCCATTCGTGACTCTACCCTTCTCTAACTCACCAACTTTAGGCAACTTTAACGTTTCTAAAACACAGTCGTCATCTATAAAACGGAGAGAACCCCGTCTCTTAGAATTTTTGTAATGATTAAGGAAGATAAGGTGCCTAAAACACCTAGCAAGAGTTTCTAGCTCAGAGGTTCTCATTAAATAAAATTCTTAAGGAATCAGGTCACACTTGGTACAAGAAGCAACTTGAGCAATTTAGGCACCAGAAGGAATGTAGAGTCATCAATTAGGACAGCTGAACAAAACCTCCAAGAAATAGATTGCATGTTTTGTTTAACGAGAAACCAAAGACAGGTCAGTGTCTGAGTTACCGTTTATTCCTGGCTGTTTACTAGCTGTGTGACCTGCAATGAGTTGCTTAGCCTCTCTGAACCTCGGTTTCCTCAGGTAAAATGAAGACGATAATGTGCGGTATTGCTGAGAGGATTAAACGAGATATAGGGCATAATATGCTTAGTGCATTATCTAGCACATAATAGTGGTATCATTTATTGTTACCCCCACAATTGAATTTATAGTGAAGTTAATTGAACTGAGTGAAATGTGATACTGTCATCCTTTTGTAGGCTTTTCCAAGAGAATCATCACTTCCTTGGGAAGCCTCCTCTTCCGTAATACAGGGTAATGATAATCCTCAAAGGTAGCTATTCCTATAAAAACAACTCTACTAAAAGATGTTAGCTTTCCAAAATTAATTTTACCAAAGCATGCAAACGTATTAAGGCTTTTTTTTTTTTTTTTTTTTGAGATCGGGTCTTGCACTTTCACCCAGGCTGGACTGCAATGGCATGATCTCGGCTCACTGCAACCTCTGCCTCCTGGGTTCACGCGATTCTCCGTCTCAGCCTCCTGAGTAGCTGAGATTACAGGCGGGCACCACCATGCTCGGCCAATTTTTTGTATTTTTAATGGAGATGGGGTTTCACTATGTTGACCAGACTGGTCTCAAACTCCTGACTTCGTGATCTGCCTGCCTTGGCCCCTCAAAGTGCTGGGATTACAGGCATGAGCCACCATTCCCGGCAAGATATGTTTTATAAGGAACATGCAGCATCTGAAAAGCGTTGGCAGTCTTGGCCCGTAATATAAAATTTTCTTTGCAACAACTTCCATCTTGGAAACCAAGATAAAAAAATTATTAAGGTAGGCTGTGTAAGATAAACCTATTGGAAACATTTGTTTATAGGAAGATTTCATTTTATTTATTTATTTATTTATTTATTTTGAGATGGAGTTACACTCTTGTTACCCAGGATGCAGTGCAATGGCACAATCTCGGCTCACCGCAAACCTCTGCCTCCCAGGTTCAAGCGATTTTTCAGCCTCAGCCTCCCCAGTAGCTGGGATTACAGGCATGGGCTACCACGCCCAGCTAATTTTCTATTTTTTTAGTAGAGACGAGGTTTCTCCTTGTTGGTCAGGCTGGTCTCAAACTCCTGACCTCAGGTGATCTGCCAGCCTCAGCCTTCCAAAGTGCTGGGATTACAGGTGTGAGCCTCTGCGTCCTGCCAAAGATTTCATTTTAAAGCCCCATACCAAGAACAGTTAAGGGTTGTGGAGATCTACAGACTGCCCTGCTGTGTTCAAACTGGCAGTAAACATCTGATTCAGCCTTAGGGTCAGTAGTTGTGTCATATCCCTTTTGGACTGAGCTTACAGCATTGTCAATTGCAGTGTATTTTTGGAAAACAGCCTGCTTTGGGAGTTCTTAAATTAGTCATAGCAAGTCTGTCTGCTTTTAAATTGACTTTTTTTTTTTTTTTTTTTTTTTTTTTTTTTTTAAGGCAGTACATGTTGACAAGAGAAAGGAAGAAAAGTAGATTTCTAATTAGAGAACTTGGGGGGAAAAGTTGATTAATGTGCCTGGTTTTCCCACTCAGGATTCTATAAATACAGGATCTCTCTCCATGATTCCTCACACAACAGATGGCCCTGTTTGTGCAGACTCCATGGTAGTTATGTTGGTCAACCAAAAAGACTGTGCTTTTTTTTGTTTGGTCACTTTCCCACCACATAGATGGATTCTTAATCTTAACCTTAATTACTCAGGTCCATCCCAATGTGTGGATTTTATTAAAATTTTTAAATACATGTTTTCTGCCCGGCCTGCCCTAGATTTTATTTCTTTATTATTATTATTATTATTATTATCTCTTAAGTGAGAAAGTGCTTGCAAATAGATTTTGTTTCTTAATCATTGCAGTTATCCCAACTCTACCTTCCCTGATTTAATTACATTTCCTATCCTAGTGACACCTAGTTATGATCATTACTTCTCAAGGCAACTTCCTTTTCCCTCTCTTTTATTTCACTGCTTCATCATTACTCCCAGTCACTATCCCTTTTTCCCAAAGAAGTGTTTCATGGGTTGTGACCGACTGAGCAAGCATGGAGCCATCAGTTGCCTGTTATGTCTTTCAAGCAATGTCTTATAGCACGTGACATAAAGAAGAGACATCTTTTAAGTCAAAGAGAGCACCCACAACCCCACGTGGGGACAAGTGTGGAGCAAATTGCAGCATGACTGAGAAGAAGAATAAAAATCTGGGATGTCTGGGTTCTAGCCTTTGGGTTTCCCTAAACTCAAAGCTTGAACCTCCTGAGAAAATCCTTGTGGCTTATTCTTTCTGGGTTTCATTTTCAACGTCTTTAGAAATAAAAGAGACATACTTTTTACTTCCTGTCTGTGATGGTTACAGTAAAAGAAAAAGTTGGTAGGCTGGACACAGTGGCTCATGCCTGTAATCCCAGCACTTTGGGAGGCCAAGGAGGAGGGTGGATTGCCCGAGGTCAGGAGTTCAAGACTAGCCTGGCCAACATGGTGAAACCCCATCTCTATTAAAAATACCAAAAAAAAAAATTAGCCAGGTGTGGTGGTAGGCACCTAATCCCAGCTACAGGGGAGGCTGAGGCAGGAGAATGGCTTGAATCCAGGAGGCGGCGGCTCCAGTGAGCTGAGATCACACCATTGCACTCCAGCCTCGGTGACTAGAGTGAAATTATGTCTTAAAAAAAAAGAAAGAAAAGGCAGTTGAACAAATTATGCTTTGAGCTCTTGGTAAGTGATCCTATTGCTGTTATTTGTGTGGAATGAGATCTTAGTTAGAGGGAACGTTATCTTTGAAAACTGTGGCTAGTTGTATATTGAATCTGGCAGCACTGGCTACCCCTACTACCTGTTAAGGCCCTAAACTTTACCAAATATAACCAATAAAAAAGTTTCATCCCCAATAATAAGGCTTTTAATCAGAGGGTATTTAGGGTCCAGAGAAAACCCAATCAGAAGGTCCTTGAACAAGGTCCTTGAACAAGGCCTCTAGACTGCGAAGTAAATTCATGACAACATCTTCCAGGACTAGCTGTAATCTGCACAAAATACATTGTTTTCTCAGAGAGGACATGGCAGTACATGAGTTATTGCAGTTACTGCCTGGAGCATAGAAGCTATCTAATGTTTAATGACCTGCCACAAACACAGCTCAGAAAATAGCTTCATATAATTTTCATTCTTGATCTCTGTGGCCAGTCTACTTATTTCTTTTAATATTTTTAACCTCAAGTAATTTTATTGGTCTTTGACAAATGTATTATTTCTGGGCTTATAACAATTGATGTGGAATATGTACTAGAGAAAGGAGAAAGAATATGTCTCCTTCCTTCCTTCCTTCTTTCTTTTTTTTTGACAAAATCTCACTCCGTCACCAGGCTG